CCCCAAAACCCCAAAACCCCATTTTAATGAGGATATATAAAATTCAATCATATTGAAATAATAAATCATTTATTTGCTGAGAAAATAATCATTAAATACTGAAATATACTGCAAGAGCCAAATGATCAGAGGGATGGTTTTAGCAAGGGAAGCAAACTTCATAATCTAAATCCTCTTCTTTAGGCAATCCTAAATACGCTGCTGGCTTGATACAAGTGCCTGTATAGAAGATATAATCTATAGTTCTTCTGACTTATACTTTATCCCTTCTATCGAAATAGTAACTTGTAAAGTGATTCTTATCTGCCCCATAGATTTAAGCAAGAGAGCTTGTCATTTGTTCTGTAATAACATTAATTGCTCCATTTTCTGGATCCTCATTAAAATCCCCAGTTAAAACAATAAACTCAAACTGACTTAGATCCTTTTAGACTTAGCTAATCTTATTTGCTATAAACTTTGATTAGCTCACTCTCATATCTTAAAATCCATCTGATGCTTTTAGATGTGTGTTCATGACTATGAATTACTTGCCTGAAGTGTTATGTTTAAAGTACCCAATTGTTAATACTTAATTATCTTAGTCTATTTGCATATGTTCAACTTCTTTAACTTTGGTTATTCTATCAGATTTCCAAGCTAATAGATTGCCCATTTTTCCATCAACTTTCATTATTATGCTACTTTCATAACCAAGATCCTTAAGAAACACAGTATACTCCTCGTTTTTATCTATCTCCTAAAGTCCGATAATGTCGAAATCATCCAATTCTAACTGCTACTTTATTAGATTAAACCTGTAATCCCATTCAATATGTTCTGGCTTCACTTAGCTAAATGCATCTGTAAACTTCTAGCAAAGAGTATTCCAGTTAAGTACCTTAAGCAACTGCTTTGAATCACTTTAGCTTTAATCTTCTAGGTAGATCATTTTTCTGTCTATTAGTTTGATTTATTAGGCTTCCATTTTAAATTAAATTTTAAATAAATCTTAAATTTTAATATTTATCTTTGGGGTTTTGGGGTTTTGGGGTTTTGGGG